TTAGTATGGAAATTTAGGGGTTTATATACAGCTGAATTGTTAGTAAAAAGAGATAGAATATTCAAGAAGGAACAGTATGAACAGTAAAGTTGAAGGTACAGGTTTATAGCACTCAGAGCGAGCAATATAGAATTTTAGGAAAAGTAATTAAGGGAAAGTACAGCTATTAGTAAGGGGTGCATGCAAGTATAGGTGAAGATGAAATTCTAGGTAAAGGCTAACGATAGTAGAACAATAGAATCTAGGTTGAAAGGAAACAAAGGCATGCACAAGATAAGAAGTTGTAAGTCTACAAATAGATTTAGAAGAATATTTACAAAATAATAATAATAATAAAAATAAAAACGAATGTAAAAATTAATTTTAGCGGTGTTATCGCTATAGAATTAAGTACAATAGTTTGCAGGGAAGATTATCGCTACACCTTTAAAGCAGAAATATGTGTGTTGTTATATTTGTGCCCTAATCCTTACTTTTTGCAACGAATCGACGTTTATACAGTTATACTTATTTGCGGTTTTACTACTTAACCTTGAAGGGTCAGTTTTGACGTTGGGGCTAAAAGTGACATTTTCTCGGGGCAGGTTGTTATTTGTTACTACCTGACCCGTACTACTGCACAGGAACAGGGCAAGAAAAAGGAAATTACATCAAAAAACGGAAAGGTAACTAAGAAAGGGAAGTCGATTGAGCCAGGAAAGATGAAGAGGGAAAAAACACCTAAGGAAACAAGGAAGAAGGCTGTGAAAAGGTAGGTTTTACATGACTCTGAGTCTGACGAAGGAAGTATAGATGATTATTTTTGCCTGATATATTGTGAACCGTTTGATCGAAAGTGGTGCTGGTGGATCTGGTGAAGAATGGGTACAGTGTGTTGTTTGTAAGAGATGGTCGCACGTAAAATGTGCTAAGGGAAATGTTTCAACCTACATATGTTTGAATTGCGAAAGTGATTGTTCGGACTATAGTGATTGAACTGTTTTTTAGCTTTTAGGATCTGATTGTTTTTTAAAGAGATTTTATTTATTTTTTGTTCATGTGATGAGGCATAATATATATGTTTTGTTAATTCATACTAAGTTTTTGTTTAATAAAGAAATTTATAATTTTCTACCGGGTTGGAAGTTACTTAAATTTTATTTTTATGAGGCGTAAGACCAAAAAATAAGATTATAATTTTATTCAACGAAGTTACTATGTTTTTGTTTTAATGAGGCAAAAGACTGCTATACAGACATTGTAGACATAATAATTGTAATAAACTGACATTGTTCTTAATAAAAAGTGTCATATTACGTTTGGTTTTTGTTGTAACATTTTGCCCCTTGTAGTGTAACAACCAGCCCCTGACACGGAGCTAAAAGATACACGTCTCTTTTCCCAGAATTTCTTTATTT